GCATATAATGTTGGTGTAGCATTCATATTTAGATATTATGCCATTAAGATAAAATTTTCAAGTGACATCATTAGACGTATGCACATATGTAACGCATTTCCTTCTTTATGATGCAATCCGTTGGCTTGTATTTAAATCTTTAACAAAAGTGTGTAAAGATCTTTATGTCTACTTGAATCAAGATTTTACTTTTGGGTGATTTTTGATTAGTTTTCATTTTAACATAAGTTTACTGACAAGTTCATTGTTTATATATATATATATATATATATATATTAATTCACCATATATATATATTTGTTTGACTGATTTCTCATTTAGCTAGAAGTAATATTGTAGGAATATAATAAATAATAATAAATAGAACATTTTTTGCCGGCCGTCCCATGTAATAAAAATCAATTAATTTGCATGACATGATGTAATCATTTAACTTTTATTTCTATAAATTAGTAACTTGTTAATAATTGTCGGGGATGATGCTGAAACGCGGGGGTCTCAATTTAGAAATCTAGAATCCACCTATACTTTTTATTATAAACACTAGCCCTAAATCCTAACTTAACTGCAAAAAAAAGCTAAAAAAAACATTCCAAAAATTTTAAAATTTCATATTAAAATAAGTCAATGTTTCAGCATCATCCCCGACAATAATTTTAAGAAATCTAACATAAAATATATAGTAAAACAATTAATTTTTTAGATTGTTGTTGCAGTGCTAAGAGGAAATTCTATTTTCATCAGGTTGAAGTCACTCAATGTGGTATGATATAATTTATTCAATGAAGGATAGGGTTTCACATGTCGGATCAGAGCTGGGAAGGATTAAGGAGAGGCTAGGATTACGCAAATCAAATATGGCATGGATGGATGGATAAATATGATACAGTGCACGGGAAGCATTTACGTACATACAATATTGGGGTTAAGAATTATGGTTACGATAGAGTAATACTATACTATATAATCTGTTATTAATTATAGTTATCATTATCAGTTTAATAATAACAAAAAAGAGCCCTATTATACATAACGGAGTATTTTGACCGGTCAACTTGCTAATTTTATTAAAGTAAGTGACTCAAAGTCATAGATGACTTTTAAATACCTGTTTTAATCATCCAATTTATTCTAATTTAGTTCTGGAGTTAAAGTACGCATCATCCAAAATCAGTTTAAACTCCGTAATTTTGACCATGATTTGCATTTATATTTTCATTTATTCTAATTTATATTGTTAAAAATTTTAAAGCTCAATAATAGTTCGCTTGCATTTTTTTCTTTTTTTTCTTTTTAGTTAAAGTAAACTATAAAATCAATAGAATTCACTTAAATCTTTGTTTATTGAGCAAATGTATTGGCCGTTTTCAGGATATTGTAGCGTTAACATTAGAATTTTTTTAGGATTAACTTTTATTTTGGGGTTGAAACTTTACTAATTGATCAACTAAACCAGATTACGCTAGTTATGGTGTAACTTGCGAGAGCGGAATTTATGTGGACTTGGAATTGTTTAAGAATTTGGGATTAGAGTATGTTTAATATAAATAACTCTAATATGAAATTCTAGTTTAATTAAAACGGTTCAAATCCATTTAAATTTGTTCTCGTTTACAACATAATAAATACAATTTTGCATTTCTTATTTTGTATAAACTTTTGGTCAAAATGTGTTCATCTGTAACATTTGAATTTTTTGAAAATCTTTCAAAAGATTACTTTAAACTTCTTGATGATGATAATAAAGAAGACATCAGCATAATAACAATTAATGTCGGAGAATCACCGGGCATTAAAACATTCCGTTTGCATTCAGTGATCTTACGAAATCGGTCTCTGTATTTTCGTGAATTAGCAAACGATTGTGTTAATTTAGAACATGTATCCACCCAACAATTTGAAGTTCTTATAAAGTAAGTTATTATCTATAACCTTACATTGCTCTATGCATTTCTACGTTAATAACTATAGGTCTTGCAGAATATCATTTTGAAGGGCAGGTTGTTTGCAAACTCAAAATCTTCAATTTTTTATATTATAAAATATTAATGTAATAAGTTTAATTAAAGGTATATCTACTGTGGAAAAGTCATTATAAATAATTATAATATTTCATTTATTTTTGATCTCATGCTTATTGCTCATGAGCTACTTTTTGAAGAATTGGCAAATCGCCTTGAAGCTTATTTAATCGAAAGTAAGGCTTTTTGGCTTAAGGCACATTTCTTTCATGTATATCAAAAAAGTTTCCAAAATAATAAGCTTCAAGAATTACAAAAATGGTGCAATGATATTTTGGTAAAACATCCGGATGACATTTTTTTTGTTTCAAAAGATTTCACATCCATTCAAGAAAACGCCTTAATCTCACTTATTAAACGAGATGATTTACAAATAGAAGAAGTTAAAATTTGGAGACGTGTTATCGAGTGGGGAATTGCTCAAAATTCTGGTATACCATCTGATCCTAAAATATGGTCTAATAAAAATGTTTTAGATATGAAAACTACTTTACAAAATTGTTTACCACATATCCGTTATTTTCAAATGACTAATGAAGATATTGTTGATAGTGTACGACCATACAAGCAAATCCTAGAAAATGACCTTTATGATGATATATTTATAAAGCTTGCATTACCAAATCGACCAATATCATCAACAATTCTCCCACCACGTGTAAATTTAACATCATTATTTTCAACATCATTATTTTCAACAGTGATTAATGAGGCACATGCAGCTGAAATTGCTTCATGGGTTGATAGAAAAGAATATACTTATTCTATAACTGACAACCCATATGAATTTAATTTACTTCTTCGTGGAAGCAAAGATGGTTTTACCAGAATTTCATTTTGGAATAAATGCAATAATCAAAAGAATCTCGTTGTTGTTATAAAGGTGAAAGGTACTGATGAAATTCTTGGTGGATATAATCCTTTCGGATGGAATAAAGATTTTTATGGGGCTTATACGGATTGTAATGATAGCTTTATTTTTTCGTTGAAAAATGGTGCAATTCAAAATGCTACTTTAAGTCGTGTGATCAATCCAAGCAAAGCTATTCTTTGCAGTCATGATTATGGCCCGTCTTTCGGTTATAAAGGTGATGATCTTTCATTATATAGAGACCGTTGGTGTTGTAAAAATGGCTTATCATACGAAAAGTGTATTAGAAATATAAATGGTTATTTTCCAATAGAAGATTATGAAATATTTCAGATTAGTAACAAATATAAAACTTCAAATCTTAATTCTTTTATACCTTTAAATCAATACTTGTGATTTACTGAATACTTTATCAAGCCGAATAAAATAATTTTCTAGTTGTATTAAATATTAAAAAGATAGAAACTATTAATGATCTTAAGGATTACAGTTTTCTTTAAACACATTTCTATTTATTTTTCGAGGAAAAAGTCAAAATAAATTTGTTAGGAAACAGGAAATGTCTTTCAGATAATTAAAGTGTTTTATTAATTTCCATCACTATGTAACTAGCCGATATAAATGAATTGTCTTAGTACTTATAAAAGTCACTGACCTGAAGAGGCTACTGTATAATTTCCGAAAACCATTTCCAAAAAGACAATTCCGGCCAAATCAGCAGCATTATAACTAATGTCAGCTAACTTATGTTCTTTCGGGAGATAATTTAAATTACAATCTTTGAAGAGTTCTGCACTTCAAACTCTTGATATTGCTGCGCTTAAGAATGTTAATTGAATATTCAACTTTTCATTAACGGTTATTCGATATAGAATATCAGTTTACTATCAGCCACTCATCTAAAATTTTGTCATATGATTTTCATAAATTACACAAATCGACGAAATTGCATTTTTAAAGATTTCATCTAAAAGCTTGGTTGATGTACACTACGTTCCCTAAGACAAAATTATCGCTAAAGTTTCTACGAGCTAGATGGTATTAAAAACATAAGAAACGAATTTCTTATAAACTAATGTACTCTTAAACATGGGCCATGATTTTGTTTACTTTCGCCGTATTCTTTTCAGGTTTGTAAATTCATGGTCTAAAAAGTGTTTCACTAGACGCGTCTGAACGAGAGTTTTCAGCAAAATTAAACTTTGAAAGGCTGGTATATTATTAAAGTAATGAAGAAAATCAAGAAAAACTGGTTTACTATATATAGATTATCTATTAATTGACATAACTAATATATATTTAAGGATAAATATATGCATCGCCTACTGCGATGTGTTTATACATCGCATCTATATATATAAATTATAATTTGTCTTATA